GTGGGGCTGCCCTCATGCGGTTCCCCCACCCAGGGCAGCGTTTCGTAGCCCCAGAGGGAACTCCACCGTAGGCCCCAGTGGGGGTGCCCGCATGCGGTTCCCCCACCCAGGGCAGCGTTTCGTGGCCCCACAGGGAGCTCCACCGAAGGCCCCAGTGGGGGTGTCCACATGCGGTTCCCCCACCCAGGGCAGCGCTTCGTAGCCCCAAAGGGAGCTCCACCGCAGGCCCCAGTGGGGGTGTTCGCATGCGTCTCCACTACCCAGAGGTAGCGCCGCCGAAAACGATATTCACACTTGCGGTATTCACAGTTGCATATGGTTGGGTCCTTCGCCAGGCTAATTTTGTTTGCCTCGCCTCTTCCTCTCGCCTCTCCTCAGAATTCTGCGCGTGATGTCGCTGCTGCTCCTGCTCCTCTCCAAGGATCGGCGGCGAGCGAGGGGGTGGAGATGGCCTTCTCAGAAGGCGGCGGGCCTTCTCAGAAGGCGGCGGGACTTCTCAGAAGCCCTCGCGCCTTCTGAGGAGTTGTTGTTTCTGTCTTCGGGGAAGGCTTGTAAAACTTCTCGGAAGGCCCGGGGACTTCCGAACCTTCTGAGCAGGCCTTCTCCTCCTCACTTCCCCCCCCATCGCTCGCCGCCCAAATGGAACAGGAGCAACGACATTCAGGATTGACCGTCCCTGGGCCCACGGCGGTTGCCAACGAGGGGACCTCGCGCCCACGGCCAGGGGGGGGGCGCCAGGCTCCACGGCCTGGGGGGGCGCTGGCGGCTCAGGCTGCGGGCGTCGAGGCTGGAGGCGGAGGACCCTCGGCTCTCAACAGCGGCGGCTTCGCTACGCCGGCGCTGTCAGGTTCAAGCAACTCCTCCTCCTCCCTCCTCCTCCTCCCTCCTCCTCCTCCTCCACGCCCTTGTGTCACTCCAGTCGTGGCCCGTAGAGCTCCGACGATTGCGCCGCGTCGTTTGGCAATTTGGAGCCCCCGCATGGCTTTCCACTCCCTTCCTCGCTCCTCCTTTCTGGACCTCGCCCTCTATCGCCCTCCTCCTCGAATCTGCCGCCCAGGGTTTTCCATCGTCGGCCAGCCTGTCAGAACCAGGTCGTCGGTGCCTCTCTCTGTTCCAGGCTGGCACGACCAACAGCGGCATCGGACACTATACGGCAAGCAGGTCCCGTTGGCAATCACAGTTTTAGGCGATATTTCAACAGGCTCTTTTTCGCCGCGTGATCGGGGCCACGCTGGATCGCAGGATCACCAAATGGTTTCTCCCGAGGGGCGGAGTGGGGCTGGTGGACTGGGGGGAGATGAGAACGGCCGTGCGACAGCTTCCGTTCGCGTGGCGTTCCGCCACTTAGAAATCTTGGCTCGGCGCGTGGACCACTGCCCACTGAATGAGGCGGCCGCACTCGGGCTGCATTTTCGGCTGCGGTTCGACTAGTGATTAAATTTCGCACTATGTCCTGGAGTGCCCGAAGCTTTCGACCCTTGTCTCGGTTGTTCTCTCTCGCGAGGTCCCCCGGGATCCCAGGGTCAAGCTTGGATTGTTTCGTGATACTGGTCGGGTGATTTCAATTTTGCGTTCATTGTATGTTATTTTTATGCCTTTCGGGTATTTTCCGCCCGTCGCTGCACCGGGCTGGCTGCTCAGGACGTGCCACGGCTCGCTGAAGCTGTCAGGATAGCGATTCGCCTTCCGCTGCTGGGGCCCCATGTACGGTTTTGGGTTCAGCGGTAAGCTCTGAGGAGCACTGGCGGTGAACTTGTTGCGCCTCCAGGCCACGCTCCACCTCCTCCCTCCTCCTCCTCCCTCCTCCTCCTCCTCCTCCTCCTCCTCCTCCTCCTCCTCCTCCTCCTCCTCCTCCCTCCTCCTCCTCCTCCTCCTCCTCCTTCTCCTCCTCCTCCTCCTCCTCCTCCTCCTCCTCCTCCTCCTCCTCCTTGGATCTCAACAACGACGGATTCGATACGCCGGTGCTGTGAGGTTCAAGCGATGGGCAGGTGTGCAGGCCAGTGCTGGACACGCGGATGGGCGCTGCCCGAACCAATGCTGCAACCGATAGGCCCCTGGGCGACCTGCAAGGGCGCGGTGGTCGCGGTGGCCATCACGGTCCAGAGAGTCGGCTGGAGCTGAGCTGTAAGGATGCGGGGACGGCAGTGGATGGTCGGGGGGGGCGGGGGGGTACTTACTTTTCGGGCATCCTGCATGCGTCGCGGCTCAGATTTGGTTTGCTGCGAGGCTGGCCTCTGGCATCAGAGCGCTGTCTCTGCAAGATAGCAGTGCGCTGGTTTCCGAGATTTGCTGGCCGACACGGGCAAAAGACGGGCCTGGTGGCGGGGTCCCACTGGACCCAAGGAGGGCTCCACGTCCAGGAGCCGACCCTCCCTGAAGTCTGCCAGCTCTGCCAGGGCGAGAGGGGCACGATGTCTCACAGATGCTTCGACTGCCCAGCCCAGGGAGTGTTTCGAAGAGATTGCGTGCCGTCGGATCTCCGCGCATCAGTCGCTCCACTCAGGGACAGCCCGCCAGCCTGGATGGAGAGCTCTGCTCGTGGGGTGTTTCCTGAGCCTGGCCAGTACGTGGAGAGGCCGCACTTCAACTCAGGCTGGCGGCTCAGGACCACGGGATCCCTGAATCTGCCTGTCCTCCTAGAAGAGGGCACGGTTTTCATGGACGGCTCGGGGTTGGATCAGCACCACCCGAGTTTGAGCGAAGTTGGCTGGAGCACCGTTTCGTACGACAGCCAGCGCCGATACCAGGGAGCTCTGTTCGGGGCGGTGCCCTCTGAATTCGGCATCTCGGGCACGGCCCGAGACGGAAAAGATTTCGCGATGTTGGTGTGCTCCGAGCATGCGTTGGGGACTTCGGCGCGAGCTCACTCCAGAAGTACACGAAGCTGCTGTCAGTCACCTCGCATGGCCACCTCGCTGGGCAACCCGAGAGCCCACCTGAGGAAGCAGGTGCTTGCGAGGTAAGATGTCGTGGCCCGCCCACTCCAGCACGTCCAAGCCCACACGTCCGCTGGCAGTGTGGAGCGGGACCAGATTCCCGAGCTTGACCGCGACGGAAACGCCGCGGACGAGTTTGCAAAAATAGGCGCTGCACTGGCCAGAGCGCAAGAGTCTGCTGTTGAGCTGGTCGAGGGATGTCAGCACATTGCGAAGCATGCTTCCAATTTTTCGGCCTCGCTGGCGGCCTCTACGGCGATGCGGAGACCAGAGATAATTGGGCAGCTGGTTACCTCAAGAAAATCGACCCGGGGCTTTTGACTTCCAAGGAACGTCGGACAAAGAGGTCCCTGAGGTGGAGCAACTGGGGCATGATCATCCTCCCCTCGAGCCTCCCGCGGGTGCGGCTGCTGATGCTGAGGTTCTCCCTGGGCCCGCCTCAGAAGTCCCCCAGTGGTTGCTAGAGAAGGGCGTCCAGCCCTGGCGAGTCAAAAACCGTTGCATGGTCCAGAGTTCGGCCCCTGAGTCAGACCCGATCATTTACTGCCCATCGTGTTGGTAGTATGCGACCACCCCCATGCAGAGAGGTCGTAGATCGGCGCACACAGTGGGGAAAGGCGTCGGGAAGGTTTTGTTCACTTTGTATGCTTCCCCTCGTAACGCCCAGGGCCTGAACGGCCCCGACGGTTGAGACTTGGGCCCGTGTCTTGAAACACCTCGGGGAGGCCCCTGCTCGGGCTGCGGAGGTTCCCAGGGCGCCGAGGATGGTGCCGTTGTCGAAGCAGCCCGCGTCCCCACGCCTCGGGCCGAACTCCACACTGGTCGCCTCTGGTGTCCGCTCCCGCGGGGGAAGGGGGGGGCGCAGGCGCTCGGTCGACAAGGTGCTCCTGGGCCGAGCCGGGGCCCAGGCCCGACGAGCGGCCAGCGCCGCCGACCCCGAGGCCGACGGCCAATTTCGGAGGGTTGGGGGCCCTGTCGGCTGGACCCGCCCGAGGTGGGGCGCAGCTTCGGGTGGGGGCGAAACGTTTATCGGGCCCCCCCTCCCCGATGTTCCTTTCCCTCCCCCTGACTGTTCGCTCTGTGGGCGATGATACCCTTCCTCCTCCTCCTCGTTCTCTCCCTCTTCCTCTCCCTTCTCCTACTATTCCCCTTCCTCTTCCTTCCCTCCTCCTCATCCTCATCGTCCTTCTCCTTCTCCTTCTCCTTCTCCTTCTCCTTCTCCTTCTCCTTCTCCTTCTCCTTCTCCTTCTCCTTCTCATCATCACCATCATCAGCATCATCATCATTATCAGCATCAGCGCCACCATCATCATCATCACCATCGTCATCATCGTCGTCATCATCAGCAGCAGCTGCAGCATCAGCATCAGCATCATTATTATGTTCCTCTTCCTCTTCATCCTCCTCTCTCTCCTCCTTCTCCTCCTCCTGCTCCTCTTCATCATCATCATCATCATCCTCATCTTCATCCTCATCCTCCTCCTTCCTATCCTCCTCCTCCTCCTCCTCCTCATCATCAGCATCAGCATCACCATCATCACCATCATCATCATCATCATCATCATCATCAGCATCATCCTCTCTCTCCTCCTCCTCATCCTCATCCTCATCATCATCATCAGCAGCAGCATCATCATCAGCATCATCATCCTCATCCTCCTCCTTCTCCTCCCCCTCCTCCTCCTCCTTCTCCTCCTCCTCCTCCTCCTCCTCCTCCTCCTCTCTCTCCTCCTCTTCCTCCTCCTCCTCGCCAGAACGCAGCAGTCAGGTCGATACGTGGCGTTGAAATCCGAAGAACCATGTTTTTGTATGCTTCAGGATCTTCAAACGGTTGTCTTCCATCGAGGCAGCTCTTTCAATGGAAATGAACCGTTGTAGGGGCCTATTAAGAGGGAGCCTGGAGGGAGGTTTACTTTCAACATCGTTGATGACTCTTGGGTTTACACTGGTCTTCCTCCTCTTCCTCCTCTTCCTCCTTCCTCCTCCTCCTCCTCCTCCTTCTCCTCCTCCTCCTCCTCCTCCTCCTCATTTGTTCCCCGCCCCCGAGCACCCTGGGCCCCGCAGGCCCTCGCCAGCGCCGTCGACGCCAGCTCCTTGGAGGGCTCGGTCTCCTCGCTCATGCGCGACGTGCGGGGCGTGATGGCCGGGGGGCCGAGGTGGATCGCAAGGCGGCCGCCCGCTGCGGTCGTGCGCGGGCTCGCGTCGCGTCGGCGCGGGGGGCGGCCGCAGCGCAGGCGCTCAGGGCTGCACGCCGGCCAGGGCCCAAGAGCCGGGCAGTGTGGAACGGCCTGGCGATCGGAGAGCGGCCGATTGTGCCAGGTGGAGCACGCGGTGTCCGAAACCAGCGCCAGGATCGTCACGACACGCACCTGCCGCACACATCTCTCCTCCTACCTTCTTGTTCCGAAAACCCATCCAAAAATCAAAAGCCAATACATATATATATATATATATAGATTCATATATGTATGTGTATACATAGTTCGATGTATGTATACATGTGTTTATAATATATATATATATATATATATATATATATATATGTATATATATATATGTGTGTGTGCTGTGGACTGTCAGAGGTCCGCGCGGAGTTCTTGCGTCAGCGCTGGGCGCCCCTCCCAACACCCTTGGCGGCGCCTCCGGCGCCGCCGCCCTGGCGTGCTGCGCGCGCCGTGGAAGGGGTGTTAGGGAAGGGGGGGGTCCAGCAACGATCCAAAAAACCTGCGCGAACCTCGAAAAGGTGATCTCTTTATGCCGTTAGGTTTCCTCCGTCCTCTACTCCTGCTCCTCACCGCCGCCTCGGCTCGAGGCATGAGTGAGGCGTCTCGCCCGAGATCGTCGGCCACATCCTGCGGGCCTTGCGATGCTGCGCGCCAGTCTCCTGTGCCTGAGGCCGCCCGCGCGCGCCCACCCCGCCAACTCGGCGGCTCGGGTCTCTTTCCCCCCTCCTCCCCCGCGGCCGTCTCTTTTCGTCCGCCTGCCCTAGAGTGCCTAGTGCCCAGCATGGCCCGCTGACTCTGCAGGCGCTTGCGACCGCCAGCGCTGCCGACAAAAAGGTGTGTGCCTGCCCGCGCGGGCCCGACCCACGCACTGTTGATAAATGCAGGCACCCCGTTCTTCGGGTCAGCCGTGTGAGCTCCGCCGCCGCATTCCGCTCTGTGGCTCCCGCCGTTGGTGCCTCCCGTGCTCCCGCATCGGAGGAACACACCTCCCTTCCGAACAGGCAGCCGATCCCGCCAACACGCGGCCGCGCCCGCCGATCGGCTGACCTCCCCGCGGCGCGCAGCTTGCACTCTCCGCGCGCAGGTTTTCCATGAGCCTTGCTCGGATGACCTCCGTCCCTGCACCATGGCAAGACTGCATTGCCCCTCAGCTCGCACTGGTCGGTCCTGGTCCGAGCCGTCGGTTGCCTTCGCCCGTGGCCGCCGCACACCTCGTCAAAACCCACGTACATGGCCTGGGCGTACCCTCCTCCTCCTCCGCCTCCTCCTCCTCCCCATCCTCACCCTCATCCTCAATTCCTTCTCCTTATAGATAACTCCTCCCTGTCGCACCTCGAGGCTAGTTTTATGGCGGGCCGGGCTTTCGCTTGAGACTTCCTCACCCTTTATGACTCTGAAGTTCAAAAAGTGACAAGAGCTTCACAAATGGAGGGTGGGTGGTTTTTTAAATGTGGCTCTCGCCGCTGCGCCGCGCACATTCGTTTAAACATTTGCAAGGGCTTCACGGATTGAGGGCGGGCGGTCTTCAAAATGTGGCTCTCGCCTAAGCGCCGCGCGCATTCGTTTAAAAAATTGAAGGAGCTTCAAGGACTGAAAGCGGGCGGTGTTCAAAATGTGGTGCTCGCCTTAGCGCCGCGCGCAGTCGTTTTAAACATGTGCAAGAGCTTCACGGATTGAGGGTGGGTCGTTCTCAAAGTGTGGTGTTCGTTTTAGCACCGCGCACATTCGTTTTAACAATGTACAACAGTTGCACCGATTGAGGGCGGACGGTGCCGCGCACATTCGTTTTAAGAAATTGCAAGAGCTTCACGGACTGAGGGCGGGTGGTTTTCAAAATGCGGTGCTCGCCTTAGCGCCGCGCATACTCGTTTTAAACATGTGCAAGAGCTTCACTGATTGAGGGCGGCTCCTTTTCAAAATGTGGTGCTTTCCTTATCGCCGCGCGCATTCGCTTTAAACATGTGCAAGAGTTTCACGGATTGAGGGCGGTTCCTTTTCAAAATGCGGTTTTCGCTTGAGCGTCGCGTACATGTGTTTTTGGAGCTTGCAAGAGTTTCACGGGATCCCATGATCAACGTACCAGAAATTGCGTTTTGGAAAAATTCACGACTACGCGGGCGCAACAGTTAAGTTGATTCGCGGTGCTGAAGTCCACAAAACGGCGTTGCGGCACGATTCTGGGTCGTCAAGACGCAGTAGTCCGGTTGATCCGTGACGTTGAAATCGCGAGAACAACGTTTTGGCACGCATCAGGAATTCGAGCTGTTGTCTTCCAACGAGACAGTTCCCTCAATGGAAATGAACCGTTGTAGGGGCCAGAGAAAAGGGAACGTGGGGTGAGGGTTAATTCCAACATCGTTGATGACTCTCGGGTTTCCACTGGTCATCAACCTTTTCCTTTTCCCTTATTCATGTTCCTTATAAGTGTTATTCTTCTTCTTCTTTAACAAAAAAGTTTGGCGAAAGACCCAACCATAAGCAGTTGAGAGCGCCGCAATTGTGAATATCGTCTTCGGTGGAGCTCCCTATGAGGCCAAGAACCGCGTGAGGGGTGTGCCGATGTATGGCGGGGAACGCAACACGGAAGAAAACGATAGGTCTGATAACGAGAGCCTGGGAGCGGGTGAATCTGAGCACGAGTGGGTCTGATTGTGCATGAATCTGCGTGCGGGGGAGTCTACGTGGATGAATGTCGACGCCCATATCGGCACCCCCCCTTGCGTGGATCGCCCCCGCTTCCTCCCGTTTTTTTTCTCCCTCTTTGCCCGCGCACTCCAGTGCCCAAGGCTGCGGGCGCAGCGCAGCACGGAGTCCCCGCGACGCGCGCTGGTCGCCCCGAAGGGGTCCCAGCAACGCGCGCGGGTCGTCCGCTGCGCGGAGCAAAGTGAGCTAGTTGGCTGGCTGGGAGCGGGCAAGGCTCTGGGCTCCGGGCAGAACGACGACGGGCGAACGAGGCGCTGGGCAGTGCGCAGCACGGAGTCCCCGCGAAGCACGCTGGTCGCCCCGAGAGGGTCCCAGCGACGCGCACGGGTCGTCCGCGGCGCCCGGCCGAACTGTGGGACAGCCTGGATATGGCGCGGCTCGGGCGGGCCGCTCCCCAGGTCATGCCTCGCGGATAAACTCGGCGAAGCCCAGCTCCCTGGCGAGGGTCGTGGCCTCCCTCCTGCACCGCTTCGTGCGCGCAGCAAACTGCTCCAACTGCTTCCGCAAGCCCGCCGGCGGCCCCGCCAGGAAGAACTCGATGCGTGGCGCCCGCATGAGCAGGAGGTCCTCGTGGCGCGTGGCGCGCGAGAGCAGCGCGTAAAGCTCCAGCCACCAGTCGTCGTCGTCCTTCTTGCCGTTCCCGATCTCGTGGCGGCCGCAGCTCAGGATCACGCCTGGGCGACGTCGGCCGAGGGAGCAGCGCGTGGGGCAGCCAACGGCCCAAGGCGAGAATCCACATAACCAAAAAGGTCTGGCTGCGGATCGCTCGTGCCCAGGAGGTTTGGCCGTGGACTGCCCGGGGGGCGCTGTTCCCCTGCCCCGCCGCCTTCTCGCATGGTGCGCCCCTGGCACGCCACCGTGGTGATGACCCTGCCGAGCGAGAACGGGAAGCCCGCCCGGGTGACCTTGGAGGTGCGGAGCGTGAACGGCTCCGACGTGCGAGGCTCGATGAACACCAGCGGGCCCGTCAGGTCCCCTGTGAGGGTGTCGTCGTGGCGCTTCAGGTCGCCCACGAAGGGCGCGCTCGCGTACTTCTCCATGCACACTCAGAACCCCAGCGGCAAGCGCTTCAGATAGATCCTCTTCTCCCCGTCTCTCTCGGCCCTGTCGACGTCGCCACGACCCCGAGGGCCCACGACGACGTGCACGATCTGCCCCTCGGCATCCTTGACGAGGCCGCTTTTGAGGTCCAGCGCCTCCAGGAGCCGGATCCGCATGCCCACGTGCACCAGGGGCAGTCCGCGCATGCCACCGGTGTTCTTCGGGTTGGCACAGTTCATCATCTTGGCGGCGCCCCTCCTGCTCATCGTCGGGGCAGACCTGTCGGCGGCCTGCACGAGGACGAGGGGCTTCTTCAGGACGTCCGCGCCCCGCTGGGCTCGCATATTCATCCAGCGCGCCACGGTGTCCCAGTAGGACCCAATCATATGGCCGTTCTGGAACCTTTCCTCCCGGAGTCTACGATCATCGGGTTTCAGCTGCATGGCGTTCCACGTGGCCCGGATGGCCGGCGGGGCCTGCTTCCCCGGCTTGCGCAGGAACGCCATGAGGCCCCTGTGTTTCGGGTCTTCGAAGCGGTTGGACGCTTGGAGCTCGAAGCACAGCGGCGCGTCGCAGAAGAGCTTCATCACGGCCTGGCACTCTGGAGCGAGGTTGATGCCCACCGCCGCCAGTTCCTCGAAGCTGGAGATAAGGGACACTTTGCCTCCCGTCGGCTTCAGCTCCAGGAAGTCTCCCAGGCGGATCACGATGGGCATGCGGCCGAAGGCGCCGCCGACCTGGTCGCGCTCCCGCTCCTCCGCGCCCCGCTCTGCCGTGCGCCCCAGGTAGGACCGGGATGCCAGCATGGTGTACAGGTTGGGCGAGATCATGCTCACCTCTTCCAGGATCAAGCACCTGGCTGCCTCCCACGTGTCCTGCAGCGCTTTCAGCTTGCCCCCCGCGGGTATGTCCTTGTTCCTGAAGAACTGCACTCCTATGACTCCCGCCCGGTGGCAACTGACGGCCTTGTGAGCGCCCGTGGAGATGTTCGCGGGCTGGGACCACTTCGCGCAGACCATCAGCGTGGACGAGTTCGCCTTGCCCTGTTTCACTAGGAACAGCGCGTCCATGGCCGGCAGCACGATCTCCTGCACCATGGCGGTATTCCTGCTGCCGCCCTGGCCAAGGAGCAGGAACTGGAACGTCTTCCGCTTCTCGTGCTTGGCCATGCTGCCGTCCTCGATCTTCCGCTCCTCGTC